TGATTTTTCTACGCGTTGACAACGCTGAATTCCGCCAGAATTGACCTACCGTTGATTCCTTTTTGATTATGATTAGTGTCGCGGCTATAACGTGAAGTTAGTGTTTCGTGCTGCGCGTCATTTTCCTCATGGCACACTAGATGCACAATTTTATGCACGCGTTGACGACGCTAGATGTGTCGCGGTATCAAATCGTCGATTGTTTTGTAGTGTGCTGTGAAATGTGATGCGTCGTTAAGTTGTCGGTGTTGTGGTGACCTTGCCGCATAGCGGGGTTGATTGACAGATAACGCAGTTTCCGTGTTTGTTTTGGTGTTGAAAGTAGACGCGTAATAAGCCTGATTCTTGTAAATATTCTATAGTGATATTCTTTCGTTCTGAACGAACTGACACATTTCACTTGAACTGAACTGAATCAGTTGACATGCAATTCAGTTCAGTTCAAGTGAAATATTTCAGTTAATTCAGATTGAAAGAATATCAGTTATATCGTAGGTTTTGTGCATTTTAGTCTTGGTCTAAGATTTCCTGTTATCGTAGAACTGTCACTTGATAAACATGCGTTACATCTAGGCACATAGATGAAGAAGAAAAACTCATAAATAATAGCAATTTTCACTGTTTACGGTTGACTCTGTAATAAGTGAGGATACAAATTATTTTTTTTCTGTGACTGGAAAAAAGTTTAAAGTTCCATATCTGTTGCCAGGTTATGAAATGTCACTTTTCATAAATTAGTAAAGTACTTTTTTCTCGGATATATATACACTGTTGATGGCTTTTGTTGTGCCATAGTTCCGAAAAATAAACCAATAACACCGTCTCCGAGAAAGAACTGCAGGTCCTTTTATCTTGAATTACACCTCGTGGTTTTACGTATAAACAACCACTAACTTCGCACGCAGGTGTCATCACTGTTTAAATTATCAAATTTCACGTTGATAGTTTTCTGATTACAATCCTGTCACAGAAAAAATAGTGTATTATATTATTAGCCCAAATCCACTTTTCCCCCTTGTATAATAAATAACTATTATTGAAAATGGCTTTTTGAAGATATCATCATGTGTGGATTCACGTGTCACTGTGGAACAAGTTTTGTAAACCGATTTTGACCATCTCTCACGAGCCCAATCGATTTAATTTGAATAATATAAGAACGTTAGTTTTTATTAGTGAAATATTTTTCAATGAACTTATTCCGGACTTGGAATTGTGGCGAAGGCTTATGGCTCTTTCGCCAAATTTTGCTCAATATCGCTAATATTGGCGAAGTCATCAATTATTGTAGAAGATCCGAACCTAAGTCGACCTTCACCGAGCTGATAATAGAACGAAATATATTTTATCATGAATTTAGTATATTAGAAAACATATTAAAAATGGGTTGCCTAAAAAAATCCTGGGCAGACTATTTTTAATTATTTTTCGAAAAATTATTTTTAATTAAATGTTGCAACATCAGGATAATAAAAAAATTGTGTCCTGACTGAAAGTATGAAACGTATAGAATGTGCAGCCGTTGGGGTGTCTACTATTTACCTGGGCGAACTACTGGGTTGTCAGGTAAACACAGGTATATCGATGCCAGTTGCTTTCACTGGATTGGATAATTTAAAAAAATGTATATCATCATAAGCGCTGTTTAATTGCGAACACGTTGATATAGGGTTGTCTGCGAAAATTCCGGTCCGATTAGGGGTTTTTAATTTCAACGCGCGTGGAAGTGTGTGACAGAGAGATCCGAGGTAAGTATACTGTGTGATAATAAAGGACCCAACATCGCAGTCGCTTGTGATGGGACCCTGAATAGTAGAAAGTGTGCGAAGTCAAATCCTGAAAACTATGGTTGGCATTTTGATGATTTCTTAAAACCAACAGGTTTTATCGGAGATCAAACTCCTTTGAAAATCCAGGACATTGTCGAAATGGAAGCAAATGAGGAAGAATCTAATGAATCAGACGAATTCGAGAGTCAAAATGATACTTCTGAAGAATCAGATATTGAATAGAAAATATTTATTAGAATTTATTTTTCATTAATATTATTTTTGTATTTATACTGTTTTTTAATAAAATTTCAAATCGTAATACAAGATGTCTAGTCTATCTTTTTTGTTATTTCTTAATTTAAATTTTTGGCGGTCCACTTTGTTTCTATTTCCAGAAAGAGCAAAAAAATTTCAAAGTAAGTATTTGATATTTTTATTGTCTATTATAGATTATAGATAGGTATATCATTATGGTTATAACGCAATATACTGATATTATATTGTTTTTATATATTAGTATTATATTAAATATATTTAATTATTATGTAATTAATTAATTATTTTTTTTTGCTACTGAAATATCAGTTGCTCCAAAATAACACGCACTGTTTACTATATGAAGGGTAGTAGAGGTACCTCTACCCTCCATAGTTTACACACCGAGCATGCGCACTTTCTACTATTCAGGGTCCCATCACAAGCGACTGCGATGTTGGGTCCTTTATTATCACACAGTATACTTACCTCGGATCTCTCTGTCACACACTTCCACGCGCGTTGAAATTAAAAACCCCTAATCGGACCGGAATTTTCGCAGACAACCCTATATCAACGTGTTCGCAATTAAACAGCGCTTATGATGATATACATTTTTTCTCGCATTTTTTTAAATTATCCAATCCAGTGAAAGTAACTGGCATCGATATACCTGTGTTTACCTGACAAACCAGTAGTTCGCCCAGGTAAATAGTAGACACCCCAACGGCTGCACATTCTATACGTTTCATACTTTCAGTCAGGACACAATTTTTTTATTATCCTGATGTTGCAACATTTGATTAAAAATAATTTTTCGAAAAATAATTAAAAATAGTCTGCCCAGGATTTTTTTAGGCAACCCATTTTTAATATGTTTTCTAATATACTAAATTCATGATAAAATATATTTCGTTCTATTATCAGCTCGGTGAAGGTCGACTTAGGTTCGGATCTTAGACGAAATTCTGTGAAGTTCTATATGGAACGACTGAAATAATTCGTCTGCACCTATGTCAATATGGAATTGGAGATTTATTCGAGACATTTCATATCCTGAGTTTGATTTGAGAATGTTCTACGAAAGAAAAAATTCGATGTATTCGACATACTACCTACCTATATTGTTTATTCCAAGGTTTATTCTATTCATTTCCGATACTTTTTATGCTTTCTCCTGTATTTATTTTGTGTGGTGACAGCTGCAATAGGGTTTGCTTCCAGAACAGAACGAAATGTACTCGCAAAGGAGTTGGAATGTTATGTTGTTGTATATTCCTCTAGATATTTCTATAGGATCACACCTCGATCACACCATCAGGAAGATAAACCAGGTATATACAGGGTGTTTCATAATTGAATGTCAATATTCGAGGAGACGATTCTTGGGCCATTCTATATAAGAAGAAAGTTTCATATGAACATATGACCTAAACGTCCTAACTTGTGAAATACAGGGTGGTAAATTCCTCAAAAATTAATATAGCCTATTACAATGAAAAGTTATAGTTCCAAAATACCAAATACGAATACGAAGTTCATAAACTATGAATTGTATTTCTGAAATATGATAACCGTGCATCAGATAGAAAAAATTGTGATGATCAAATTTGCTTAGAAATTATTAGGAATTTCAGGAATGATGTCAATTTCGCGATTAATCAGTGGCGTACCATCAATGTCTGCCAAAATAGGTATGTGAAATTCCATACGAACGCCATTGGTGGCAACGAAAAAAAATGTGGTACACTAACTGATGCCTCTTGATACATAGTACACTCGTCTTCAGTGAAGATGTCGCGGTTGGACGGTGTGAGCGCTCTTATTGCAGCTGTGATAAGAGAGCTGACACCTCGGCTGACACAGTCCATGTGCGACATGTTCTTTGAAGACGACTGTACATGTATGCCAAATTTCATCAGAATATCTAAAGTGGTATTACAGATATTAATAAAAAACTATCACCCTGTATCTCCAAAGTTAGGACGTTTAGGGCATACCTTCATATGCATGGAACTTTCTTCTTAGAATATTGACATCCAATTATGAAACATGCTGTATAACGAAGGTATTGAATTATCTTCATCTAAGGTGAATGATTATTATTTCAATTCATTATTTTTACTTTTTATTTCGGGTAGTTGTCCATTTATCTTCTATAAAATAAATTGTTAAACGTTAAACCTTGAACGTTCGTTTGTTTTTCTACTCATAAAGTACAGAGCCTCGTAAAACTTGTTTGTGCGACCCAATTAATGGGAGAAGTTTTTAGCCATGGAGCTCTCCGTAGTTTCAAATGAGCGAGGATGAGCCATCACTATCAATATTCTGGATTTTTTTTCAGTCATCACAATATGAGGGAAAGTACAGTATGTCCACTTAACAAAAATACACCAATACAAGTTATAGTATGATGCAAATGTATGGAATAAATTCATTATTTCAGAAATGGGCGACATTTTAAAAAATTCCAAAAACACGTGAGGTTTCATTTTTGAAGCCTCATCTCATGATATCCATTGAGAGATGTTACGTCACCGGTGTTGGAGTAATGACGTAATGAACGATTTTTCAAATGAAAACAGGGGTCATGTGACACCTCGTTTGAAAAGTCTACTGATCGTCTATTCAACAGTCAACATTTTGCATAAGAAACTTGAAATTAAAATGGCTTATCATTTGATTAACTGAATCTTGCAGAGGTCTGCTACTGAGAATTGAACAACGAAGGGTCGTCTATTTAAAAAAATAAATCAATTAATAAAGTTCTGAAGTCTAGTTTTTGGATTTTTTCGGAAGTCGTCTTGTTTTGAAATGAATTTATTCCATACATTTGCATCATACTGTATATATAGGTAATAGCAATGGTGAAGACTATTATTATTATTAACAACGTCCCGTGGTAATATGTTTTTATGAACCAATAGTTGATAGAATAAGCAAAAAACGACTTTGGTTGTTCACGCTTTGAAAATGAGTAAGTTGTGGTCGGTTCTATGGCTACTGGTAGAAAAAAACAATTTGTACTTTCGTCCGAAATTCTTCAATACAATATTTCTTGACATGTTATTCGGTGAACATTATGCAGACGCCTATGAAACAAACTATTAATAACAAAATTATAAAGGAAAATAGAAAGTGGACATGGATTTTTGGCCCACGCCTCATGATAATTATTTCATTTCCCACATGGTGCGTATCTATTATAATTTTTCATCAGTTCCATTTTCACTATTAGGAATATGCTTCTCGCACATGTCTCTCAAGAGACGCACTTGTCACGAAATTAATTTATTGAACTCGACTTCCAAGTAATTATCTCTATTTATAGTTTACATTATAAACCGTACTTATACGAGAGAGGCCCATATCATATCATCAATACATTTACAGGGTCATACCTACCGTCATTCCGTATATTCTAATAGCTTCTACCTACATGACCTATATTGAAAATGAACAAAAACTTTTAATGCACATGAAACAAATATAGATATCGCAAAACTGAGATATGGATAATGAAACCTCATTCATTTCCATGATACACCTTTTATTTATTTGCAGAGAAATTGGAAAATCTTGATTTCATATTTGATTGCACAAACATATATTAGGTCGAGTTTAAGGCAGTTGACAGTATTTAATTTCCAAATATCAACAGAGAAAATAGAAAACACTCGTGAAAACAAAATCAGGGTTAGAAACAGCTGATTTTTTTTATTTGTAAAACTTCATATTAAAGAGATATAATTTATGCATTTCGATCAACCTCCTATCGATTACCGTTTACGAAATAATAAAAATAAATAATAATATTAATAGTTTATTTGTAGTTCAATGAGATAATACATTAGGTTTTATAGAGAAACAAGAGCAGTGAAAAAATTAAATTAAAATAAAACGCATAATCTATCATGAAACTTGAAAAAAGATAAACTAACAACACAACTCTAAAGCGGCGTTCACAACCAAACTTTTTACGTTTTGCTTTTTACGTTTCGTATTCTGATTGGTGAAGCAAAATCTGTAATTGAAATGACGCAAAAAGCTGAAAATATTCAGCTTTTTGCGTTGCAAGAAGCCATCGTCTGTGAAAATAGTAAAAATAGACGAATAATATGGAACATCCTGTGATAATATGGAAGTTATGATAATATTTTCATGATTTGTTCGTGAATCCACAGAATAGTAGATAGGTGTTCAATTCATTATTTTATTCTTGTTGAAGATTGACTTTTCTCTTCAAGTATTGAATATGGATCAATTTTCGTCACCGCCAGTTCTATCAATTCAATATTATTAATTATCTGATCAATATTATTGTTATGATTATTTACTTCATTTCAGGATGAAAAACAAGTAACAAAACCAAGGCAACTGAGCCATAAAAAGTCACGTTGATTTTTTGTTGTTGTGAATGATATTTACGTTGGTTTAGTTCACGTTTAATTTCAGATTCTGCTTCACCAATCAGAATACGAAACGTAAAAAGCAAAACGTAAAAAGTTTGGTTGTGAACGCCGCTTAAAGCGTTGATTGATATATTACGCTTAGCGTAATATATCAATCAACGTCTAAAGCCTGCTGATCTAAGTAGTTGCCTTGCTCTGTCCCTGTCTATCTGATTTTTTATCATCTCTTGGGGCGCACGAAAGGAAATTCCTAGAATGTTCGAAGAACATCGTGCATACCTATAGGAAGGAAAGGGAGAGGAGGTATAGCTGTTCGATTTTTTGACATCTGAATCTTCCGAGGAATCTTCATTGAAATTTGGTTCTCAATAAAAACTATTCATTTTCTTCATTCGATTTTTTTCATTTCTTTTCTATAGTCAACCTTGCAGAAGATTTTCATAAGTATTCTGAATGGCCCTGTACCGTATGAAACCGTATGTGGCTCATCGCAGAGAAAAGCAATTAATCAATTAGAGGATGCTACAAAATAGCTGTTTATTTGAGAAGTCCTCGAATTAACGGTAGTCGGTTGTGTTTATTTCATTAGACAAATTAGGTTTATGTATCTTTGAAGTTTGCTGTTTCTCTTCCCTCTTCCTAAAGCTAAGATTTCATGCATGCGATTTTTGGTAATTCGGTCAAATATTCCACAATACATTCATTGTTTGGCAAATTCCCTAAATAATTTTTGTTGAAATTGAACTAATGTTTAACTCCTATTTCAATATCGTATACACGAATACGAATAGACCCAAATACGGTCCCTCTAGCTTGAGAAAATATTAAATAGGATTTTGACAGTTCTACACTTTAATGAACAAGAAATACAACCGAAGAAATACAACCGAAAAATGGTTGAGCCTTTTTTATCTATTGGAGCACAGGAAACTTTTGGATTTTATAAGTTCTTGGGAATACAGCCATTGGCAAACAATTCCAAAGCTTTGCCGTTCTATAGACGAGTTTTGATAGAGTGTTGTTCGACGTATTTCAAGGTTTACAACGAAAGGATGTGCTGACTGGGCCTGGCCAAATCGCCTCACTGGCTTTGCTAGTGATGGAATGATAGCAAAGATTTCTGAGGAACATTTCTCGTGGAAGTATCTATAGAAAAGTGGAAGGTCGCCGACTTTTTTACGGTGTTCCAATGAGATCAAAGGATTAGAGAGTTTGGCATCACCCACCAAGCGAATGGCTTTTCTCTGGATGGAATCTATTAGAGCATCAGCGTGTGTTTGGGTGCTGAACCCCAATATGTGAGAACCGTATTCGAAAACTGGCTGTATTTGTTCTTTGTAGATCATGAGAAGCTGTTGAGGTGTAAAGTAGATTTTTGCTCGAAATAAAAGACCTTCAATAAAAAACAGTGATTTCGATATGGAAGTATGCATCTCTTATCCGCTTTTCAGATGCTATTGGTTTTGGATTACTATTTTTTATTCTCTGTAAACATTCTTTTATAACTTCAACGATTGTTTCAACCTATATTGAATGTTTTGTTATAGGTCAAAAAATGTTACTCCTCTTTTTTGAAATTCCTTGAATAATATCACATAACAAATAATATATAATGGATTATTGAAACTACAAGTATTATGTTCATAACGGACTCAATCTGGAGTTCTGAGTTCTGATGCGATGAATTTTCGATTTATGAAATATCAGTTTGACATGCGTCAATGATAAATTTGTTAGGTATGCAAACTTTTGTTTTTCTTCACTAATCGTCTTAGTTTATTCCTTGGGTTATTCTTTATTGCTATTTATATCTTTTATGGGCCATTTTTTTGAGAGGTTCTCGAAGTTTAGTTTGAAATATTGTGTAGCTCTTCCGACATATGGTGTATTTCATCAAAATGAAAGAACTTTCCGGCTTTTTTCAGTTGCCAAAGCAAACTTTGTGTACTCGAACACATCTGATGTAAATCCATTTCAGTATTGTTCTTTGAAAGAATAATAAATCAGCAGTTGGAGTTGTTTTCGTAAATGCAGTGTGTTGTTTCGAAAAAAATAATGATGAAGCGAGTATAAAACTTCTTTTTCATTAAGAGAATGTTTCTTGATCATTTTCGATTTCTTGCCTATATAGTTAATCTGAAGAAATAATTGATCTTATCTCATTTGATTTTTATTTCTCAAATTACTATCATGAACGATACTATATATACGAAGCTGATGAAGATGAAGTTTTCTATGTAATTATCAAAGTTTTATATCAAGTTGTAGTTATTATACGAGCTATTTTAATATGTCATGAAGGATCGATTGGATATTTTAATTGAAAATCCAAAACCGTTAATCACTTAATAACTTGTTATGTAAATTTGATTGATCGTTCGATTATTCCTTATTGCAAAAAAGTGTCGGATCTTGCTGTTATTATCATTTAGCCACACATATTTTCTTGAAAATTATCGGATTTTCACTTTCGGAATTAAGACCTGAAAAAGGCGCCAATATGTTTGGAAAATGATCTCCAGGATCCAAGGAGTCGAAATACTCCGGAGAATATCCCATTAAAAAATATATACAGGGTTATGATAAAGTAATGCACAAAATTCATAAAACGTACAACGATCACTTTTTAAAAAAATGCAAAAACACGTCAAACTGTTTTTTTTATTCCGCATCTTTTGACATAAATTACAAAAATAACACGTCAAAGTTGTCAAAGTTATGACGTTATCAACACATTTTTTTTAATGGGAAGCTAAGATTTTTATTACATTATGTGATAGAGCTTGTGTTTTTACACAAGGGAAAAATAGTTGCAGTAGGGCTCGTATAATGTAATAAAAATCTTAGCTTCCCATTAAAAAAATTTGTTGATGACGTCATAACTTTGACAACTTTGACGTGTTATTTTGATAACTCATGTCAAAAGATGCGGAATAAAAAGAACAGTTTGACGTGTTTTTGCATTTTTTTCAAAAGTGATCGTTGTACGTTTTATGAATTTTGTGCATTACTTTATCATATCCCTGTATATATATGAATGAATGCAAAATTCGATCTACGTACAACTGTTTATATTTCAAAGAATTATCTCTATAAACTAAATGAAGTGTTAATACTGTGGAGTTTACTATTGGCCACTCGGTATACTAACAATTATTTCCTCGAAGATTTCAATAAGAAATAATTAGATATTGAAGAGTGGTACACTCTGAAAATGACTATTTATATATGAGTTATTCTTCTTTCATTCAGAATCTCAAATAAGTATACGTACAGGTATCTATAGTACCAAACTTTTCGAGAATGTTAGTTGACTCATTTCCTATATTTTCGAGATGACGGATCAACTAAATAATTCTACTACCTGATTCACGTTTAGGTGATTACCAATTCCTTAGACCATCTTGAATTTTTCATGACTGGTCCTATATCTATTAAATGTACCTACCGTAAGTCAAGTACCAACTTCGAAAACTTTGGTCCTACAAATCTGACCCACACTCGGTATACATCACTGGCATAACTACTATCAAGACCGCTATATGTACACCCCAGCAACCAGAAAGTCTCATCCAAATTGCTCTTAGACCAGTATCGATAATTTTTTGAAACCGAAAAAAAATCTAGTAGAATGAAACACATTGAGAGAGGAAGAGAATATAACAAAAATGAAAGAAAAAATAAATTACGGTCTATGTGTGGTCGGGAAGTGAAAGGAGGTGATATTACCTACACCTACAAGTCCTATGGAAAAAAATGGCAAAGTTGTATAGGAAATGTAGAATGGGCGTGTACACCTTAGTAAAACTTTTAACTGAAACCATGTTTATAATGATCCTTTTATACATAAATAATGATTGACGACCTAATTCGATCGAAAAATTAACTGGGATGTTTTATTTTAAAAGAAAATACCAAACGCCCGACGGAGACTGAGGCAACTGATATATTAATTCTTTCAACTGTGATCTCGCGCTAATTCACTCTGTCAGAAATCATGTATCATTCATCTCTGTCTGGAATAGTCTTGTTTCAGTATTAGGGTTTTGACGTCACATTATCGCCTCGTTTTCAGAGGTCCGAAAAATCGGGGATTTCAATAATTTTTTATTGAACGTAGGGAGCTCACAGCAAGAAACGGTTTGCGGTGGTGAGCTAGTTTGGGTGATTTCTATCGAATTATGAAATAAAAATGTTTTGTGATATAAGCCCATTTCAACTGAATATAGGAACGATTTGATGTGTACAAAAATGAATGAGCCTAATGAAAGCATCATTGCGGATTAGCAATACTCTAAAAAAGATAAGATACTAGCATATCGAACACGAATTACTTTGTACCTAATTATTAAAATTATGATAGTAATAAGGAATAATAAAGTTTGGTGTTCTAATTCTTTATACCTCACAGTTTTCAGTGATTTCACCATTTGACATATTATCTCCCTCTTTGAATTCATCAATGAATCAGTCCTTCATGCCGATGTATCAGATGAATATCAGATTGAATTACCTGCTGAATTTGAGAACTATCTGCTGTTTGAGCGGTGTTTGGAGTGGTGAATTAAAATCGAGATTAAAATACATACTATTTGATGAATTTGAGTGAATGTCTCATGCGCATGATTCATCGATGAATAAAAGAACAAACCTTATACCGGAAGGTCCTGAATCTCGTAAATAAACGAGCATTGATCTAATGGCATTAGCAGTCTAGCTAGTAATTTATGTCTGTGGTACACATACCTAAATCATCATGGTGAAAATAAACCTTGAAAGAGCCTCGGGAAAAGCCTAGACCATATCATTGCCTCGACCAAAAACCAGTGAAATGTGATAAGTACCAGCCCCTCGTCGACTATTCAAGTTTCAAGTGTCTACCGGGTGTACAAGCGAAAACTCGCCACTCTGGCCTCGATCCAAGACAACTCCGACCTCCCGGAGGTCGGAGGTGGCGACGAGGACAAAAGCTGCCTCACCACCTACCTGTTCAACCCGGTGGAGACGTGCGCCGGCGTCCAAACGCCCGAGAAACGCCCATCGCAGGCGGCGGACGCGGTCGGTACCCGGAAACGCACCGAGAACGCGCACGCGCATGAGAAGGCGCATGCGCCCTCGAACAACGCGCACATGCACCCGAACTTCCTGTTCGGCAAGGTGTCGGCTGACGGCAGGCCGAACTTCCTTCGTGATTACGAGCTGAGTTACAGGAATTGCGAGTGGGCGGAGCCTGATCACGCCAAGTGTTGCGTGGCCGGGCATTTTGGGAGGTAAGTTTCTCTCACTGTATGTTACCGTGTTTGTGTGGTTGTGGGTTAATAGTGGACGGTAGACTCGACGGTAGACTATTTCTGATCGATTTATGAAGGAATGAAAATTAGATGGTCACCAAACCAAATTAGGATTGTCAGTATAGAATTCGCTCACAAACTCACTCACTTCTCTGGAACACCGTAGAAAAGTTGTCGATCTGGCTCTATTTTATAGATATTCTCATGGACGATGCTCGTGGGAACCAGAACATAAAAAAAACAGATTTTGATTACTTTTCGATAGTTTTTGGACTTAATTTGATGCTGTAACCTAACCTAACCTTTTCTTTACACAAATGTTCTGTTGGTGAAAAAGTCCTAGAACAAATACCTATTTTATATTCGTACGTATTACTGGTTTTACAACAGCAACACGCAGCAACGACAGTCATTACCTGTGGAAAATCGTGTCAGGAATGGACTCTAATTCGATAGTTGTAGAAAATAGTTATTTATACACCAAGGTACTTAATAATGCTATTATTACACAGGGACCAAGATTATATCCCGAGGCCTCAGCCCAGAGGTGTAAGGTCCCATGGTATTAATATTCTGGACTACCAAGGTGTATATCAATTGTTCTTCACCACTAGCAATATATTTCAATCATTTTAGTTCTCTGGAACTGAAATGTGGACCTATGTCACTATGAAAGCACTTCTCATCAATTCTAACTGGAATCTATTCAACATGACAGCATATGACAAGTCGTTATTGATAAATAACTACTAGATTCGATTGCCATTCCTGTGAATATCGAATTAGAACAGTGAATTATAGTGGTTCATAAAATGACGAAAACTACCTTGGTAATAAAAACACACTATACGCCTTCAAATGGCGAGATAATGGTAGGTTCTATAGCTAGTGGTGGAAAAAATGAATTGTTTGATAGGTTCCTCGAAAAAGTTTGACTCTCTCTAGTATTACTAGGATATTTATGAGTAGAAATCGAAAAAGAGAACAGTTGGCGATCGAATACAATATTAGCTTCTCGCACTCGTATCTACTTTTTCCGAGTGGTAGATCTCCACGAAAAATTTGTACACTAGACTTCCAATGAACAAAGACCAAATATCTTCCAATGACTTCCAGTGACTTCCGTAGATTTCCAATGATTTCTAATAACTTCCATTGACTTCCAGTGACTTTCAATGTGACAGAGACTCGGACAGAGACTAATGAATTCCAAAAACTTCCATTGACTACCAAATAATTCAAGTGACTTCCACAGATTTCCAATGACTTCCAAAGCTTTTTAACGGCTACCAATGCCTTGCAGTGACTTTCAATGACTTACACTGATTTACAATGACTTCCAGTGAACTTCAATAAATGTCAAAGACTTCCAAAGGCAACCGAAGACTCCCAGTGATTTCAATGCCTTCTCAGAGACTTCCAATGACCTCCAGATACTTCCAATGACTTTCAGTGACTACCAATCTCGCTTCCAATGAAGTGTAAACCAGACTTTCGTGGCGATTTACCCCTTATCAATAACGGAAGAAGTCAGAAGGAGTGTCGGAAATAGTCTACCTCCACTACTTACCTCCAATCCTCAACCACTCATCTTTAGGGAATGCAATCTCGCGAGATTGGGGCTCAGGCTTGATCTGGCGAGTTTATGAATAATAATACCGCGATATCTCACGAGATTGACAGTTTTGTATGTTTATTCTCGTCAATAATCACAATATTTGAATGAATTAGGAGGAAATAAAAAGAATTATAGGTATGAAAGAAACATTCATTTCTGCGAGTTTTTTCAAGAAACTTATGTATTTAACATTGACGTAACTATCTTTTATTTTCAAAAAACTGTTGAGTAGTAAACTCGGTAGTAAACTTTGACTAACCTAAACAAATGCGAAATGACATAAACAATCAGTCTTCTCTTCTAGAATCAAACAAGAGTCTCTCATTTCATTCGATTAGGAAATTAGCATTCCGTGCAAGTTATACACTATAATTTTTCTACGGCTATAATAGATAACAGTGGCATTTTCGATTTCTTCGTCTTGAAGCCATCTGATTTCGATTCTCGAAGTTCAATAATTCAAAAATGGTTGCGAATATCAATATGGATGTTGTGATAAAGATCTTTGTGTTTCGATTTTACACCAAATGGCCTAAAAATATACGGGGTGTTCCATTTGAAAAACTCGAGAAAAATCACTTCCAAAAGTTCTGAAATGAAAAATCATTTTTAGCCACCCTGTATAATTTGGGGACATGAAAATTCTACAGAAGTATCATGCATCATCTTTCCAAATGATGGGAAGACCACTGATTTTTTAAAACGACATTATCGTGAACTCTATACTGAAAAACTACCAGTGAATTAATTTTGAATTTTTTCATTCATGCTAAGACGATGAAAAAAATAAATTAGCATATGTCCATTTCAAAACACACAATTCCTGCGCCATTTGCAATTTCATCAATTCATTGGTGTGACTGGTGCGACGTCTTTGTCCCAACACGCCTATTGTCCTTGAACTGACCAATTACACTGCAACACTGCAGAATGACGAGGTATTAGAGAGAGATAGCTACAGTTCGGGACTAATACGTCACGACTCCATCATCATATTTGGCTGTTTGAAATATCAAATGAAATATGCTGATTTCAAAACGATATAGATTCGATTCCCTTCAACTTCAACTCATAATATTGATTGTACATAAAATGTAAATCATGATTCGTCGATTGAAAGAGGTTTGCACGGATTTCTTCCCTCAGTGGTCTTCCCCATTGTGACTACAGTGATTTTTTCGGTATGCATCTGCAGATGACATTATTCCGACAAAAAAATTAATAACTTTGAAATTATCGAGATATATTCAACAATATTATAGGAGTGGATGGAGGTCACAGAGATGCTTCAAGAAATGTGCTAATATATAGGGCATTCCAATAAAAAAAGTGATCCTGATCCTCCAGATTTTTTCCGGTGCCCCCTGTCTATGCGTCAATAATTTCTAGTTATGCTTGTTGTCTCATTCACATTCGTTTCAGAATCAAGTTTCTAGCTATCATAGAATTCGAGCAATCGAGCTCCGACGGACTAATGCTCCACCCTGTATATTATTTATTAAAAACTCGCGAGATTCCGTCCCAAAGAAAGCCGAGATCTCGTGAAAACGGCGAGATTGCATCCCCTATAATCACCTCCCGCCATTCATCGTTCTTTCTTCGCGGCGCGCGCATAGAGACCTGAGTTTCGGCCACCTGTACACCATCAGTAAGACCGACCCGCTCCACCTCCAGCCCCGCCATCTGGAGGAGCGCACCTACGACGAGCCGTACGCGGGCGGCGGCTGCGAACCGTCGGGCCGCCGCTCGTGGCTGTGCTGCCCCGGGTCCCGAAGGGCGGCAGTGGAAGGCGAGCAGCCGCCCCTACTGGAGGCGGTTACCACGACGACGACGACGTCCACTTGCAGAACGCCTGATGCGGAGGCGGTCACTAGGCCGCCGGGAGGTAGTAGGGGATGTTCCGGGAATTGCGTAGGTATCCTTGTGATTTTTTATTTTCATTTTTTTTTTTTTTTGAAATAAATCGCATCAACCATTAGAGGTTTTTAGCGATGGAACAATAATTACATCACATTAACTTACATTACATTACAAATCAGAGTTTACAGTGTCTATATTTCGTTCAGGATATCAATTGACTTGAGAAATTTCATGAGATTCAGTATATTGTTTCCTTGAAGATTTTTCTGAAGGTCATTCGATAGTCCATTGGATACTCTTTGTCGCTCAAGCCCGGGACATTCAGAGATGATGTGTTTCACCGAGATGTTAACTCCACAGAACTCGCATCTGGTTTTATTTTCATTCTTGTTATTGTTATTATTATTAACATAAAAATTATAATTATAATTATCATTGTAGTTAACCCAGATATGCCCGAAACTTTTTCTTCGCAAAAACAATGATTTGTCGATATTTCTGTGATCTACTGAAACCACACAATGACATTGTTACATCTTTTTCTGAAAAAAATCCTTATTTTTTTTTGGAAAATGGTGTTCTTTCAAAAGAGTGGTGGGAAAATGAAACACTTGTTGGTCAAAAAAATTAACGTATATTCAGAACATAATATGATTGAATTTTCAAATCAAACAGTATGATAGCTAAGAAAACAGTGTTTGGGGTGCAATGCAATTGAACATTTTTCACAAATGACATTACAGTTTTCATGACATACACCACAACGGGTCTACTTTTCCTTATAAACGACTAAGTGATCAAGCCTATCATATTTCGAATGTTCATGTAAACTTGCAGATGGACGACTTGGTCCTCTTCTTGATGATTTTTTGAAAGTTTCTAATATGGATAGAGCGACAGATCTTCTGAAAGACAGATGCATGGTTTTTGGTCCACCGCCTTGCCTATATAGTTGCCACGCATTCTGTGTCGCCATATCTAAGCAATGACATATAAGTGGAAAATACCATTTTTTACCTCTAATTGAAGTCCTCTAAAGGCTGATGTTCTGATCTGCTCTATCCACCCCTCCCATATTTTCATATATTTCTTGATTATTTGAGGTTGTGGCACTAAAACATTTTTTTCTCTTTTTGGGAAAATCGCTTTACTGGGACAGTTGGTAAGACTTCATTATGATTTGAGGCGATAGTAACAACGCTATTATCGTGCCATTTGCATAACACGATATTGCTAAAATCTGAAGACACATATTCAAATGAACCTCTATCTTTCTTTTTCATTTTCGTAGAGTGAGAAAGAGTGCATTCTTTGCCGATACGATTTTCTCTGATTGTACCAGTCCCTTTCAACCCCATTTTATCCAATTCCTCAATCAACTGTAGAGTTGTAAAAAAGTTGTCAAAATAGAGATGGAAAGGAATATTGGGATATCTTAAATTCTTCGATATTTCTTGGAAATCCTTAAAATTCCTAGAGATTATTTATCCTAATTCTTGGTATTCCTTGGAGATCATCAAGAATTTGAATACCTCGGAATTTCCTGTACACCTGATGAATTACCTGGAAATTCTTTGGATATCAAAGATAACCTTGGAAAACCTTGGACATTTTTGTGACACCAGAAATCCTTGGAATTCCTAGGTGAATTGAGTGAATCCAAGCTAATTGTTGTAAAACTGATCCTGACCACTTTTTATATACAAGGTATTCAATAAAATCATCTTCTAATTGAGTAGTTGTTGCCATTTCGAACGTAAACCACCCTTCATAAATCAGACGATTTGTTAACTGGAATTCTCCGCTGTGCTGATGTGCTCATCGACATTCATAGACACAATCTCATCAATCACAATCTAATTTTCCTCATACCACGATTCGGTCTCGGGAGATATCTTTTACTAATAATTCATTTACTAATAATTCATTTGTGATATTGCTCGGAATGAGATTGTTATGAAACCTCATTTTCTAATGAAAAAATCTTAATCACTCTGGTAGAAGAAGAGCATCAGTAAGGATAATTTATCATTTCAGTAGTAGCAAGTCATTAATACATTGATGATTAATTTTTCTACAACTATCAAGTAATGACTGTGATTTAACACTCTCAATACTGTTATTTTGTTGATAATTTGGTATACCGCCATGCATTTCAATTTGTGACGCCTATTCTCTAGACGCAAGAAAAAATGTGTGAGTTCACAGAGCATTTTTCTAATAGATCTTACGATTATTACTAATACTCAATTTATATCAATAGAGACGAGAAGATGAGGAAGTCATCAGCTTTGAAACCTATATTATGTGGAAGAAGAAAAAAAATATATGAAATCGCAAAATCTCATCATTAGAGGAAATTAAAATAGCTATTTCATTCAAAGTAAAACGTCTTGAGACGGTTAATCTTTACCTAATTATAAAATATGAAGACATTGAAGTTGGCTCGGAAGAAGGTACGAAGAAGAAAATGTGTAGTGACCGTCCTAAAATGAAATACATTCTTTCGGAAAAAGATTCATGTCAACACTGATAAAAGCTCGAGATTTTCCTACCGCTTCGCGCAATTTTATTTTCCATTTTCCTAATATGATAAATTCCGTTCAGACAACAATAATGTACGCTTTCAGGTGAAATATTACTGTTTCCAAACAACGTCAACTCTCAGATTCACATCCCCATTGCATAGTTTTTCCTCATCTAGAGATAAAAATCAGTGAACACTTTTCCTTCAGTGAGTAAAACATTTCGTGCCTCGAATCAAGTTTGACATCTTCATGACATACTTATCATCATAAATTATTTTTCTATAGCAGACTTTCAGTGAGTTACAGATTACTTTTGAATGGCAGTGATTTCCTAATTTTCCATTGAGGACTATACTGACCAAACAAATAATAACAATGTCATCTAGTGAGTTCCAAAACGGCATACAATGACTTCCAAAGACTTATTGCAGTGATTTCCAATGCTTCCATAGACGACCAATGACGCAACAGAGAATAACTATGACATTTAGTGAGTTCCAAAGCAACATCCATTCACAGTAGGAGTGCCTTCTGCAAATGTCGAAATAACGAAATGTTATATGTTCCAAAGGCATGAAAAAACATTGTTTTTTATCGCCATTCAGTGTCCTGAGCAATATGATTGAAGAGTTGCACTTTTCCGTGCGGTACTTTGCACTCAATTTTGCGACTTGATAACGAGATAAGAAATATGCCATCTGATACCAATTTGATGGTAGATCCCAAAAACCTTCCTGTGTCACTTCTTAATCTGAGTCAAATCCACGGCTGATCGATATATAATTCCAAAAATATCGATATATATATATATATATATATATATATACCTATATCCTATACGAAGTGACCTCCTAAAATGTATGTTGGGTGTACGTTAAGACCTCATATATGACGTTATCACCTCCGAAAGCGGAGGTCACAACGTATCGTGTAGTTTTTTTAGCAGAAGCAATTAGAATGGTTGTCCCAGTCTATCTTCAAATTTAACGGTGGAGGTCACTCCGACCTACGAATATCACCAAATATATGGTTTTAGTTCCGATATCTCCCGCGGGCGCTGATTTCGCTTCTGGTGAAACTCTCAGTCTCAGTACTTTATGACCTCCGCTGACGAACTGATCTGTTTAATTTATTGACTTGTTCAGTTTTGAGAGAATTTGGAAAATGGAGAAGAGTAGGAAAATCGTAGATATGGCAAAGGCGTTATATGATGCGAAAGGAGGTAAGTTGGAATCAATTCATCGATATTGGAATTATAGGTTCTTCATGAACAGGTGAGTACCTTTTATCTTCTAGTCTTTGCCCCGGCTTATTATGGATATTTTTTTTAGCACTCAGTGGCTAGGAACATGGTTATATTGTTCATAACGATGTATTCAGAGATTTTTGAAAATGTTTGCATTCATAGGAAAATGATGCATAGGTACGACCCACAAGTGAGGCTGTAAATCCCTGAATTGATTTTTTATTCTCCCTTACATCAAATTATTTCTCGTGAACGTTCAACAATCAATATGATCAAATCCTAATCACCATGCCTGGATATTCGAATTCTGTTTAGAATAATGATTTCGATTTTTCGAATATTGTATCGTCAATGGAAAATTCTCCATATAAACTGAGAGATTGCTTATCAAGTATTATGTGAAAATTTGCCTGCTGGAATGTTGCTGCTTTTTCTGGATTCGTAGTGGGATGAAGTAATAAAAATAATTCGGTTATAATATTTGTGGCAGAGAGATTTGTTATTATGAATCAATTCGATTCAAAATTGATTTGGGTATGTACGGTGTCGAGAATATGAATTTATTGTCAAAATTCATGAATTCAAAATGGCAGCTCCAATATGGCGACGAGATTTGTAGTTATTGTTTAATTGGATTCGAAATTAGTGTGTGGGATTCACGAGGTCGGAGATTATGAATTTGTTTTCAAAATGTATGAATTAAAAATGGCGTCTCTAAGATGGCGAACGTGATTTGAGATTATGATCCGATTCGATTCAAAATCAGTATCTGGGATCGTAAATCATGAATTTGTTGACAGAATTCATAAATCCAAGATTGCCACTCCAAGATGGCGGACGTGGTTTGTGATTATATTCCGATTTGATTTAAAATTAGTATCTTAGGGTCTCCAAAGTTCGAATATAATGAAATTATTATGAATTCAAAATGGCGACGAGATATGTGGTTATTGTCTGATTCAATTCAAAATAAGTATGTCGGGGTTTTCGGGGTCGGAAATTATAAATTTGTTGTCAAAGTTCATATATTCAAAATGGCGGCTCCAAGATGGCAGAGGAGATTTCTGATTATGATCCGATTCGATTCAATATTGGTATGTGGAAGTTTTTGGGGTCGGAGAAGGATACTTCTCACATACAAGCTCTTATTGAAATGCGCCAAGAAGTGAAAAATAATTTCTTTGGATGTGTAACGCAGCTCATTCTGTGAGTGACATATTCAAAAGCTTGCCGCTCCTGTACCTATTTCAA